AAGGGACGAGCCAGGTCGCCCCGGTCAGCAGGGGGACCAGGGCCCACAGCTGAGCGGCCAAGCTGGGGCCTACCCTCTCAGGTAGCATCTGCCTGTGTGGTAACGGGTTCTCAACAACTAAACTAGAGCATGGTGGGACCCCGGGACACAGCGCCAAGCAGGCCAAGGCGGAGTTCCCAGGTGGAGCAGCCCCCAGCGCCGTTAGCGAAAGGGCCGCCTGGCGGGCGATGGGCCCCACTGGCCCGGCCTCCTGGCCCGGCCTGGTGGCGGGGCCTGCGCACAGGCAGTGCACGCTACCCGCACGCCTCGCGTCTCCCGCGGCCCTGTGCACTCGGACTTCTGTGAGCCCAGGTGCTGGGAAGTGCAGAAGGTCAAGGGGGGGAGGGCCAGACCACCCCTCATTGTACCAAGGCGGAAACTGAGGCAGGGATGGCGCTTGCTCAAGGTCACTGGAAATTGCGGGGAGGCCGGATCCTCTTCTTGTGTGGTAACGGGTTCTCTTGGCCATGCATGTTTGTACGTCTGTGTACGAAATAAACATCTTCTCACCAGACGCGCATGTGTGTACCGTCTGTGCATATACATGTGCGTCCACACAGCGCACGCGCACGCAGGCTGCACACCCACAGTTCTTCACAGTGACCACTCCGCTCCCCCTGACACGTAGGAAGAGGGACAGAGCCCTCAGAGGACAGAGACCCGCCCAAGGTCAGTCACACAGCCCCTGGGGGTGAGAGCCACAAACCCGCTGAGCAGCAGGGATGAGGACAGTGCCTGCCTGCACAGTGTGCTACACACAGAGAACAGGTGTGTCCATACGAGACACCAGTCCGGAAACTAGTGCAGAGGGGGTGCTGGGCAAGTTCCCCAACCCCAAGAGAAAGTAGCGAGGTGACCACATGCTCACCGGGCCCAGGGCCAGCTGGGCACACAGCTCGCACAACATGGCCGGCAGTGACAGGACACCAGGGTGTCAGCTCCACGGCCTCCAGAGGCCATGCCTGGAATAGGACGCCAATTGGGGTGACCTCCAGTGCTCCCTGGAGGTGCTCTGTGTGCGAGGCGCCCAGCCCAGGCTCAGCTCTATGGACACACGCAGCATACGCCCCGACACATGTGTGGAATCTCCTTTGTCATGTGATGAGCCAGACCCTGCCCATGAACACATGCCCACACACATCCCAGCAGGGCCTGCCCCTGCACACAGTGTATTCTTAGAGGGTGCTACCCTGGCATGTGTCCATGCACAACCGCAGTACTCAGGGTACACTTGGGGTTCCTGGAGAGCAGATGCCTAAGCAGGGCGCAAACACAGGCAAGGGTGTGCGTGTGTGCAGATTAAGGTCTGTGCACGCAGAAACCTTGGAGCGCTGCCCCATGAGGCCAGCTGGAGTTACGGTCCTGAGCGCGTGTGTGTACATGTATATGCTTTGTGCACATCTCTACATACAGATCATGTCAATTCCGTGTTCAAAGAACTATTGTATATTGATCACATATATGTGTATGCAAAGTACATGTATATAGCGCAATATACAGCAGCGCGTGTATCCCAGCATCGCCACACTTCAGCCACGTGACAGGATGTGTGCTTGTGTGCGCGCACGCATGATAGAAGTTTGTTCAGGGGGGTTCCATGGAGACACCGTGCACACCCAGTGTCACAGTGGACTCCATCCGTGTGTAGACACACTGTGTGCTGAGTGTATATATGTGTGCGTTTGAATGTGTGTGAAGTTGGCACAAGGACACGTGTGCAAAGCAATGCTACAAAGTCCATATGTGAACAGGCAGTACTCGCAAGTGTGAACACATGCATGTGGCCAGGGCTGAGTGGCGACCGTCGCTGCATCCACACAAACTCCCTGTGCCCACATGTGGCACAGACAACACTCGTGGCCACAGCGTGTGCGTGTGCGTATTGCATGGAGAGCCTGTGCATGTGGCAGGCACGTGTAGGAAGTGCCCGGCCCCTGATAGGCAGGAGCAGCATGAATGGTACAGGCTGACTCCGTGTATGTCCATGGCCCAGATGTGTGTGTGGGAAGCACAATGCCGCCCGTGCCGGAGCAGACTCATCCTGCATCCCTCTGAGATCGGAGCCCCTTTGGACGGGTCTGTTGGAGAGGGGCAGGGGTGGGGTCAGCTGCAGGTGCTGGCTGTGGTAAGGGTTGGGGTCCTGACCTCCAGTTCCCTGAAGGTCCTGGACCATGGTGGGTGGCCTCACTGCCCTTGCAGGGCGAGGGGATGGGTTCTGATTGTTTTCAGTGTCTCCATTTTCATGTTGCCCAGCCGGGTGTGTTGGGCAGGATGTGGGAACCCAGGAAGGCCTTCCAGGGGACTGGGCAGTGAAGGCCAGGAGGCAGGAAAGGATGATGACACTAGATTGCTGGCTGCCAGCCCCTGCCACGGACTCGATGCTGAAGAGCTAACAGGACCCACCCCCTGTGCAGTGTCAGTAGTTGCCCACCAGTTACTAAGCACTGGCGACCTGCTGACCAATTAGTGGTCAGGTGAGCATGGCTGCCGGAGCCACACTGACAGCCCGTATCAGTTCCCCCATCAGGCTAGCGGGCCAGGCCCTTGTTCAGGGGCAGTCGTGGCTGATGCCTACCTGCCTGGCCCCCACCCTCCCAGGTGTGCTCGGCTGTTGGCTTCCCAGGCCCCTGGCAAGAATAGCAGGCCAGGGGTCAGTGGGCTCATTTTCGTCTTGGGACTCTGTACCCCTGAGCATCTGGGCCCAAAGCTGCCCCATGACTGCTGGACTTGACTTGGGGTTTGGAGACCCCTTGCTTTCCCAGGGAGGGCGTTCCTACATGGCCCCCAAAGATGCTGCAAACAGGCCCCAGGGTGAGGAAGGCCTTAGACAGAGGCATCTTGGGCTCACTGGAGGGAGTGAAGCTTGGCGGGGGAAGGCCAGCCCCACAGGAGGGTCTTGCTTGAGGCCAGCGTGGAACAGCCATTAATTAAGGGAAGATTCTAGAGAAGCAGGCTTGGGAGGGAGGAACTATTTTTAGGAATGAGTTGGAGTTGTCTGTGAGCCCCCACATGGAGTCGGCCGTGGAGCTCAGGCAGAGGCGGATGTGGGGGTGGGGGCCTGGGTGGATGGGGTGCTGTGTGGATGGG